ACAATTACGTGAGATCATGCCTTTTTGAAACCTGTATCCGTCATTTCAAAGCAAAAGTTATTGTTACTCGACGAGACTCAGTTAAGTGATCGCAAATCAAGGAAGGTCAACAACAGAGTCAGCTGATCACAGCAGGTTTTGTTCGGCACCTCACTTATTTCATTGCGCGCTCATAAAAAGACTCTACAAAAAAAAATGATAGAGAAACCAGATTTCATGTCATAAAATAAAAAATAATGCGCTACGTTGTAGTTCTATCAATAAACCGCAATGCATGTATGGTGCTCGTAGAGGGTACACGCCAAAATATAACACGTTGCAGAGGTCATCAAATCAATCGTAATCTTAGTATATGAGGTAAAGCGAGACAATAAAATGTAGTGCAACTAAAATCTGAAGAAAAAGCCATGAATGTTATAATGCTTAAATCATGAGCATTCATCAAATGCACATCGAACAAGGGTGTCATCACTCAATCATAACATAAAATCGTTTCCAGAATTTGACAAAACATTTTGGAAAAGAGAATGATACACAGGGTTAAACAATTCATCCACTTCAGGAAACTAGAGGTAGGAACTTAATGCTAACAAAACGTCCTACTATGAAAACGGTTTATAACCCATAAACTAATGTCAACTGATGAAGAAGCATACAGTGACATCTAAACACTTGTAAGACAACGTTATCCGAGCCAATGTTCAAAATTTTGTTAACGTTAGATTTACTTAGGCAAAAAAAAATGAGAAAAGTAAATGAATGATGGTGTAGAAAAAGGAAGTGAATTCCGCAGCAAAAAGGATATCCTAGAGCGAAAGATTTAAAGAGGAAGTAACGACGGCTTCTTGTGTAAAACACAAAGGTAAGATTGATGAACAAAAGTTGGCCTAACAGCTGACGGAATGCTAGATGTGAGGAAATGGCTATGAAAACGGGCATTGATATTTCACTTTATAGCAAAATAAAACAACAGAGAATAAAGAGAAAAGATTGTTCAGCGAAGAAGCAGTACGCTAACCTTCAAGAACATTGAAAGTCTTGGAAGAGAAAAAAAAAAGAAATAGAAACAGAAAAAGGTTGGGAAGAACTACTAGGTTCCTGGAAAAATGCTGAAAAAACGTTGAATGTTCGCAATGAGGAAAAGAGAAGGATTTTGATTACTTCATATGATATGTGGTGTTA